TCACGAAATAAATTTCAAGCGAATTGGTAGAATTAAATCGGAATTAAATTACTCTCGCAATCAGCGGATATTTCGACGGTCATTGAATTTTTTCCGTTGCGTTTTTCATTTGCCATTTCGCGTCTTTTGTTTCAAAGACAATGAAGACAGCATGAAAATGATGCGCGTAATCAAGGCCCGTTTTTCGTTCCACGTGAAAATGTGCAGAGAAGCGATAGATCATGACTGATTCCAGTGTAGACGGGTGTAATTTACAATTTTGATTACGGATCGATACGTTTCATTTGAGGAAGAATCACAAAGATCCGGCAGTATCACGAACAGAGGGTCTAAAAGCTCTTTTGGCTCGAAGATTATTAGATTGGGAAGCAAACGACAAAACGAAGGGTTTTTAAACGACAGTATATTGAATCGAGTTTCAAAGGTTCTCCAATCGTTTTACTTATCTCGGAAACCGTTTTACTTTCGTAACTATCTAGATCTGTTCTCGATCCTCCGAGGGTCTGTCCCCAGAGTATCGGGGACACAATAATTTATGTACCACAAGTATTTGTATAATATTAAAAGCATTCTGTTCCCTAAGATATGTCTCGAAAATGGGCGAATAAATATTAAAAAGGGAATACAAAATGTACAACAAACTCTACCGTGCACAAGTTCCCATTCCTTTCGAGTGAAATTAAATACAAAATTTATAACAAGCTACATCGTCCAGAAGGAACTTGGAAAAAATCAGCAGTGATAACAGAAATCCGCGGTCGCTGTATCTCCTTTGTGAGGCGTTAAAAAATATAATAAAAACCTCTCGGTAACTTCCCGAATGGCGCGCTACGTGTTACAACTTTAAATGAGAACGGTCTTAAACTCAAGCAGATTTCCTTCGAGATGATCGTTAAAGGAAAGCACGTTGTCCCGATGTCATAACTTTAAATGATAACAGTTCATTTTGTTCGTTACATAAAACGGTTGCGGTGCTACTCGACTTTCGGGGTAAGACGATCCGGTGCGTCGTTTGTGAAACAAACTAATTTTAAAACTTCGAACGTTTAATCCGTCCCCGTCTCTCCGCGATGCAATAAACGTCCCGTTAACGACCGCGGCTTATACGGGGAGCGCCGTTCTCTTCTTGAGCGATGGCGGCGCGGTGTCGTAGATCGCCAAAGCGCGCGAACACTTTCGCGAAAACTTAACCGAGACTGGAAGGAAAGTGCTGGGTAACTTGTGTTAATCCGATTACACCGATACGAGGCAGTGAACCGTCCTCGGAAGCAACAACCGGTCCCGAACTCCGCGGAGCTGGCGTTATTTTATAAGGGGTTGAAAATTCCGCGCGGAGAATAATACGATAACATGTTCGCATAAGCAAATTGATCTTCTTAGACTATAATGTCCTAAACTCCTCCAATTTCAACTCGAACGACGCACTCTCGTTCAATAAAACAACTAACATGCAAATGTGATTTTCTAATTGCCTGGTATCTGGAGCGTGCGATAAACATCTCGGGTAGCTGCCGATTATTCAATAATTCCAAGTACCAGCAACATATAATTTGCATAATACTGAGTCTTAAATTATTCTCGGTATCTACTAATAACTTCATTATCTAATCAAAATGCATTTGTATAATGTTTAATGTACACGTAGGATTAGACTACCATATGATCGTTACACATAATTATACATAATTGTAAGTGTATTCTAACACGATTGAAATAAAAATAAATTTTTTCGTAGATTAGTTCGATGATTTATCTACTATTTTAATTACTCCAGCGGAAAGATCGTGGTTTATCGAGCAAAAGAAACTGTAGCATCCACGTATCGATAAAGAAGACACTGATATACACCGGCCATCGAAATTCATTTTCAACTTAGGAGGAGTTTATTTCAATGAACAGTTGAGCGACGAGCATCGTCCCGGGACAGCGCAGTTCGCTGATAAGGCAAACCTAGTCCCTTCTTCCCTCGGCCGTCTCTATTTATACCCGGCAACCACCTACCGGTTGCTTTCATCGCGTACGCGCAACTGTAGCAAGCGTAGCCGCAAGTTAAAGCACTGTCTAATTAAGTACGGAAATTACGGGCACGTACGCGAACTCGCGAAGTTAACCGGACCACGTGTCGCGTCCTCGTCCGGGCTATAAACTCATGAAACTCAAAACGAGCGGCCGGTACAAGGCGATCACCTCTAACCGGTTAAACTTTCTTTCACTCTTCAAACAACGGGAAAATCAAGCGTAATAAAGAGATTACCGTAGATGACTTTCACCTTGGCGAATACCTCTTGCAGTCCATTAGTAACTTATAATTGGATCGGAGAATTTATACGTTTATAACGATCTATAGATAGGAAAATATATAAATTGTAGATACAGAGAGAAAACAATTTCCTTCTGAATCAACATATCCTAGCATAGTGCACGGATATTGTGTATGTATGCTTTATAATATTATTCACTCTTTCATAGTGCAGATAAATGATGTTAGAAATTATTAACGATTCACTACCACGATTCTTAAGTGACATCATTATTCGGTTATTTGATCAACGAGATATTCATACCCATTGTCAATCTTCTCACGACAATCGTTTCCAAGCCGTACGATAATTGAGAAAATTTATTCGGGATATCCCCGGTGATCGTGAACGAACGGTGTAACCGTGATTCTCCGTTGATCCCGGAGAGTTCTTGCACAGGAGCGGGTCAGTGAATTAATTAGGAGCTATCCGGCGATCTACGGAATGGAGCGTGCATGACTCTGTAGCGAGCGGTGCCGTATAACACGGGAACGATACGCCTCTTCACTTGAAATTCCTAATTAATCCGCGATACGCGTATCCCTTCCCCGTGATCGCAAAGCCTTATCGCGTACAAAAGCCGGCCCGGTACATTGTTAATGCCGATCGATGGCTACGATTCACATAGATCCGCCGGCGTGCGGCCATTCATCCGTTCGAGCCTATAGCGGGACAAGAGCTCGCTGGTTCGGAAAATGTGTTCGGGATTTCGCGGCGATGTGTCGAGTATCTCGAATAAGCCAGGTAGACGCCGGAGCGCGCCGGCTACACCTCTTCATGTTGCCCGGTTTCACCCGGCCATCGCACCGGCGCGGACCACGGATCAACCGTGTGTTGCGAGGCTGCCCGACCGATCGCCTGCTAGACACCCCGCGGCTCTTTCGCCGCTCGGTTACGTTATTAATCGAAACACCTGTCCGGAGCACCGGTTCCCCTTTTGTCGCCCACCACTCATATTCCTTTGTCATCGTATCAGCATATAGATTATCCGATTTGTGAATTATCGAGAACCGATTTTCGCTGATTACCGGAGCGTCTGCTTCACACTTCGTCCCCGCGGTGTGCTTCGCTTGACGCTTTCACTGCCGTTACAGTTTTCAGGATTCTGTGTAATATTATCTGCAGTTTCGTGATGAAGATGGAAGGTTTTGGAGATAGTTATTAATGATTTGGTAAATACTATTAGGTTACGACGTTATATAGATGCTTGTATTAAGTACTTTTATTCGACGTTAACCCTTTGCACTCGGAAGCTTTTCGCTAGAAATATTGTAGCATTTCCCGATGAAGTAAAGATGATGTTTTGTGATATTGATGAACAAAGCTATTTTATTTCAATATTTCTCAAATTGATGTGTTGCGCAAGGTATAATATTAAATATCAGATTTTATAGTTTTACTGTGTCGAACCAAATGATGACTGAGAGTCACCTTCCGAGTGCAAAGGGTTAACCCATTGTTTTATAGTAACGAGTCAGATTTATGATGAATATTCTAAACGGAATTTATTAAGTATAAATAGTACTTGATCGTTTTGAATTCGAATTATATATTATTATTCTGTTATAAATTGTTATGCTTTAGAGGAGATATGGATATAAAATAAGCCTAGAATTTGTTTCTTTTTAATAAATTATTAATGACAAGGTAGTCGAACTGATCACAGTTAACAAATAAATCATTGAGCAAGGTGTTAATTGACTTACATATTTCGATTGTTTTAGAGCGATTCGGATGCGTCGGTCATCGATGACCAACGTGGTAGTCTGTTGATTTCTAATGTCGAATTGAGTCTCTTTTTACGTTCTCTTTTATCCGCTGCGAATCAGTGGATTTTATTTGCGGCTATTCAAACGTCTAGACGTCTACAAACTTCGTAGCATTAAATTTTCGAACGCGACCGTAGCGTCGCGACGATCGTAATTTATATTTCACTGCACTCGTTGCTCACAGATAATTGGCAATTAACGAATTCATAATCACGCAGAACGCGAATTGATAACAGGCCAGGCGGGAAATAAAACTGCGCGTCGCGTTGGTCGTTCCGCGAGATACGTTTAATTTGTGTGGACTACCGGGCCAATGAATATTTATTTTCGCGGGTGCGTTAGCGCGAGGGTCTTATAGAACATAGTGCTGCTTCAACAATACACATAATTAAACTGTCTGATAATGATACAAGTTTAACCCCCATTCATTTCAGGGTCATTTTCTTGGAAAACAAATCGATCTTTAATCATATCTTAATCGTCTTTCGAAAATAGATCTTTAACACTAGGTTTACGGAACGCGCCAAATTGACGCATATTGGATTTTAGAAATATTATTTTGTAAATATTTATGCTGATTTTGATTGATCAAATCTCCAGTTTCCACAATCTAAATAAACGAGCATCAATTCTTTTAGGAATAATAGAATGAAGTGTACGATAAATGCTCGTAAACCTAGTGTTAATCATATTTCTTGTTGTAATTATAACGACATTAAACTAACCACAATTTTAATTCAATTTAATTGACAAATGATTAACGTCACAATTTTCGAAACAGCGTATAAAGGTTAGAAACAAATGGAACGCGTGAATCACGAATAATTCATTTCGCCCGCCGCGAATTCTCGCTTGCGGCGAGAACATCATTACGGACAGCCAATGAATTTCGCCAATAGATTGCATACCTATACCAATTTTTCTATTACAGGAAGATTCATGGATGAACGCACGATGGATACATGAATCGAAACCATCATGGCCGGATTCGAATTGATCCTCCTGCTGCTGGCATCATCGCGCTACCTCGTGCATCCGATCGGTGAGTCGAGCTTTCATTTAACGAATGTGCGTACTCAAAGAAAATTTCACTGTCCTCTCACAGTTTTTTTTTTCCAAAATAACCTTTCACAGAGAAAGGTCGCGCACTCAAAGCGACAGGCATTTTCGAAACTTTCGCTAAAGCTATCGACCGTGTCTTTTCATTTTCCACGTGTAACTTCCATCTATCGCGGTCATTAAGCATCGTAAACAATTTATATAGGATATGAATCATTGAGAAGAGTCTCAGATTGTTCGAGTTGGAAACAGAGCCTTGGAATCCACGTAAATAATTAATTTAATCACTCCGGTCGCACGTTTCAACTGCCACGAAGACTTCGTCGATATCAAATCATACCACTGATAGAGACTCGAACCGAAAGCAACCACGTGGGACGAGAACCATGACTTCCAGTAGTCCCGTGCTGGCAAAGCTGCTCTTCTTCCCGATAAGCATCATCTTGATAACAGTCAATATCGAGAACTTGGAGGAAACTGGGAAGAACAGCGCGGCTTATCGACCCTTTGATCACAATCACGTGACACGCGGCGTTATATCCTTTGATAAGCCTGATAGTCTTATTCGTGATACTGGAGACCTCCTACAGATGTTCCGTAACTGATATATCTTAGAGGATTAACCATCTTTGAACCGAATCACCATAACCGAATCACGGTACAATAGAAATTCATCGAAATCTCATAAATGCACTCTCGCGATTTCTACTAAAAGAAAACTCTTTCGCTTTATCAAAATACTCCCAAAGTTAACCTTACATTCCAACACCATTTAAAACTCAGTGAACCCATAGAATCGTTTCACTTCGATACCTAAATTAATCCTTTGCACTCAGGTGACTCTCAGTCACTTGATTTGATGCAGTAAAACTATAAAATCCGATATTTAATGTCCAACTCCGTATAACATGAAATATTGAAATAAAACAGCTTTGTTCCTCGATGTATTTGTGACTTCCAATCAAGTGAATATCAAGGAATATTGTCTTTGCCTCACCAAAAAATGTTAAATACTTTTAGCTAGAAATTCCCTAGTGCAAAGGGTTAACCTTCAATCTCCGTAAAGTCGCCGCAAAGGGGATTCCATCGGGCACGCGAATAAAACTGGGATCCAACGGAACGGCGAATGGTTATCCGTTTCGCGCTAAACATCCGCGGCCCGATTCCGAGATACGTCGCCTGCGAGCAGCTCGAACCGCCAGGAATCGCCGGTTTCCCCAGTGGTTACCCGCTGGCGGGAAGCCGCCTAAAGGAACAGGCCTTAATCACGAAGAAGAGGAATGGACGAGCGAGACTTAGCCCGTTGGAGGTGGTCGGCTATCTTCATCCCGGGGAAACACCAGCGGCGCTGCCGCGGAACTTTCTCAATTAGTGCTGGAGCCCGATCGACCAGGAGCTCATTCGTATTCACGATGAACCTGGGACCGTAGATGGAATAGACCGATAGCCCGGCTGTGTCTTCCGTTCCACTCTATCTCTTCTCGCTCCCCGACAATCGTTCTCTCTCGCGTACTCCCCGAACACTTTCGCTCGCCGTCGCCCTCCTCTTTTTCGCTCGGCTCGGCTCTACTCTCTTTCGCTTGATTTTCTTCCGGCGGAGTTTCGTCGCGCGACGATTACCCCCCTTTGTCCTCGCCGCCCCGTCTAAAAGCACCGAAGAGGCGGATCAGGGGTCCGATTAGAATCGCGGCTTTTAATTACTGTCGTTCGGTTGAATCAGTGAGGAGTTCGATCGCCGATATCCTCGGCGAGTTGTTGCTGACGGTAGTTCCGCGCGACTGCGAGGGAAAGATCGGGATGAAGTTTTTTTAATCTCGAATCCTGTAGAATTGGAGATTCCTCTTTTCGCTCCTTTATTGTCTACCACTCGATCACGAAAATAAGAAGATTGACTGCTGGTTTTGTTAGCTAGTACAGACAACTTTGAACTTGAATCGATTCATTCAACTGTGTCTTACTTCACACGCATGTTTTCTGGAGAAATTATTTCTTTAGAAATCAGCTGCTTGTTAGTCAAGTCTGTTAGTTAAATTTCTTTATTGAATTTGGTACCATGAATTAAGAAGACTTTCGGCTATGCAAAGATTCCAATAAAGGTTACTCCGAAGACACACTATTTTATACATCTGCACCTGTAATAAAGTAAAATAGATTCTACAGCATTTACTTCATCCACCATGTAGAAAGAAATGTTCAAAACCAATGTATACTATTGCAATACTTTTCTCTAGCTTTATTTGCTAGAATTACGACTAATGGCTCAAACATTCAGTAATCTAAAACTGCAGATACATGCCCCGAGGTTACGGTTACTTTTGTTTATCAAGTCGATCGAGCGTTCGATCGACTTCAAACTAGATGCAGAGTACTTTAACTCCGGCGAGGATAATTCATTTACAGCTTGTTTAGTGAACAATTAACGCCAGCGAGAGGAGCGTAAACAGTGGCCCGGAGTGGCTTGAGAAACGATTCACGGCCTCCTTTTATTACGCTGTAACTGTCGCCGTTAATGCTTATAAACCTTCGCCATCCGGCCAACAACAGATGCCTGATGTACTAGCGGCGAGACCAAGTCGACGTCCGGGGAGTAGATATAAGCTGTAAAATATGTCGGTCTGAAACAGCGCGAAATACATTTAACGAAGATAAAGGTATCGCCTGTCCCGGAACAAGTTGCTACGACTAGGAAGCGGAGGGCCGGGGGCTTATTCTTCTCCGTAACGACCCAGATAAATCTCGGGAAATTATTTCCCGAGAGCAGCGCGTTAACGGGGAGCAACCGGTTTTTGTCGAGTTTTCAAGAACGGACGAAAATAAGAGGAGCGCCGTTCCCGATGGGGTGTCGACAAGTAACGCAACGGGGCCTTCCGAGACACGCGATAACCGTGGAGGGCGGAGGAACTTTCTTCCTCTTTGATTCATCTCGCCACTCGAAAATTTCCTCCCCGTCGCGCCGCCTCTGGATTAATTTTCCCCCATTATGCGGAAACTTAGGAATTAATGGAGAAATCAGAATTAATAGGGGTGGTCGGGTGAACTTCACGAGAATGGACTAATGAAATTGTGTGTACAACGCTCGCAAGATGTTTGCCGAAGGGAATGAAGTTTTTTATTCGATTTTGCGAACGAATGTTCTATAGGGATTTTTCCTTTATTCTAACCCTTCGCGCTCAGCGAATTTTCCCGGTATAAATATGTATCAGTTTTTAATGAAACCCGGTGATTTTTGAAACTAATATGAACGAAATTCTGACGTGAATAACAGAACGTAATCGTTTATTTAAACGTTATCTGTAGGTTCATGATTTCGGGATATTTTCAGTGTAATACTATTGTTACGTGAAACGGCGGTAACGATTTCCCGAGGTAAATAACGTATTTGTTCCCATTTTGAGAAATCACGCAGCTGCATAACGCACCGTTTCACTCGCGGAAACGATTTTGTCCTAGAAAGCTAGCCCACCTTGAACCATTCAACATTTTCCTGCAATACTTTTTTTAATTGCAACCAGAAAAGAATTACGGCTTGTTCCAGTTGCGTAGAATTTGGAACACAATGAGCATTATTCTGCGTGGCAGTACGTCCTCTCTGACACTTCGCCGATTTTTTCAAGATTTACCACGAATCTCTTCACTGATCTAGTTATCTTTAAATCCGACACTTCGATTAAAATATTTAACAAATCAAATAACGAAAATATTAACATTCTACAAACCCAGTAAAATCGAAATGAATCTTTTATAACGGAATCTGTACTCTCCACATTCGTCTCTACGAAACACCTACGAAGCGCTGTCTAAAGTGACGCGAACGATCGTTATAGCAACTGAAAATGGACATGCATCTCCCACAAAACTGTGCAGTCGAAGTGGAATTGGCAGAAGAAATGGCGGGCGGTTCCAGGAGCGCTTAATGCACGGGGAGAGAGAAAGGTAAGCGTGGAGAGTGCGCGCTCGCGGGTTCCTTAACGAAAATTCCGCCGGCGCGGTAATGATGAGCAAACTTAGTTTGCGAGTGTACAAGACCAAATATATATTCTCCTCGCTGCGATCCCCGACCATTACTCCTGCATCACCTTCCCTCGGTCTCGTTCGCGGACGATGTAACAAAGAAGATGCTCCGAAGCGCGGTCGTTTCCATTAAAGGGAAATTTTCTTGCGCAGAGGAAACGGGGAAAGACGCCGCGCCGGCGGTGGAATGAGGTGGCCGAGCATCCTCCGCTCCAAGTTCCGCCTGTTCCCGGCGTTTTGTTCTTTGGACCGCCGACGGTTTCCTTTTATGAGAAGCTATGAGCACCGCGGAATAAAGGGAAGATCTCCGACGGTGAAGGTGTCTCTAATTTAGAGTGTGCTCACAGAGAGCCGAGTGTACACCCGGTTGAATATTTCACGGACCTTGTTTTCCCGCTCGCGACGATCAACTTCGTCGCGAGACGGTTACGCGGCGCTATCAAGACATTCCACTTAGGGCTTCGAGATTCTCCAGTTTCATTATAAAATCATTTTTGAATCTAGAAGTTCCTTGAAGTTCTCGGACAATGCGCTTCGTTCTTTCGTACTTGCGACAGACTTCAGAGAGGAAGATTCGGCGACGGTCCCTTTGACCATCCGCTCCGATTTTATTTTCTATTCAACTGCTGATACTCCGTTCTCTTTATCTTGAAATTAACAATAGGAATACAGTTCAGTACTATTAAGACGGAAGCAGGATTTAAAGTGGACGTATATTATTTACAAATTGCCCTTGATGTTCTCTATTACCGAGGATTCTTGTAAAGGGTCAAGTTCGAATGTTTCAGAGGAAAGCCGATTAAATATTATCCTATTTGTCCTCGAGGATTCGCTCTTAATCCTTTGTCTTTCGATTGTCTTCTTCCTCGATAGCTCTCGGCAAATGTACTTTGCCAATAATTCAGAAGAGGAAAATGGAATTTTATTTCCACGGCGAATGCCCGGTAATCGGATACAACGGGAAAGTCGAGA